CCCCCGCCAAATCTGTTCACATTTGGGGGAAGAGAGAAGCCTCCATCCCTACAAAGGTCAAAGTCTTCAAATGAGATCCTTTTTTTGTCTGCCTCCTATCTAGCCTTTTGCCTGAGTGGGTAACAGGTTGAAAGACTACAGATCTGCTTTGGCCTCTTGAGAGTGTAGGCTGGGGAGAGGAAATCACTTTTTTTGCATCATTTCCCCCCCAGCATGGGGCCCTGTTCTCTGCTCCTGAGAATGTGCCGAGTGTACAGGGTCCCTCCCTCTGCTGCAGTCTTAGGGACAGAGCCCTAACACACATGTAGTGATAGGAAAGCTCCTGGTGAGTAGAGGTGGCAGAGAGGCATAGGACAGAGCTCTGGGTGGGTTTGGGCGGCGCACTTGCTCCATGGGAGGAAGGCTGTCTGGCACATAGAGCTGGTGTCCTTGCTGGGAGGTATAGAAGCAGAGCCTGGTCAGCGCCTGACTGGGGGTGAGAGGACCTTCGAGCCCCAGGGAGGTGAATGCTGAGCTTTATCTATACCTGTGTGGAGACTGTGATGGGATTTTTCTCTTTGGATGACCAGCTGGTCTGGGCCAGGGTTCCCTTGCCCTCAGTATTCTGAACCCCAGCTCCAAGTCAGAGGGGAGACTTCTGAGCTGCCCGCTCGCCACCGCTCCCCACAGGCTGGGCTGGGGCCTCGCTGACCAGTCACACTATGGGTCATTACTACTCACTAAGCCTTTGTCTTGAGGCAGCTGTGTTGAGGCAGACTTGTGTCGTGTCCGCTCATTCAGGGACTAGAGGTGGACAGGGAGCCTCTGAGGGACACACAGCCTGCTTTCTGAACCTTAGAGCATCTTAAGAGACAGCTGAGCCCTCTAGACACAGGTTCCAGTATTGGCCCTTAGTAAGGACTGCCCTCTGTTGAGGCTTCCATTGTTGTTAGATGCTTTTGGGTGCTTTATTTATGTTTTCTATAATCAATCGTGGAGTCGGCCACTCCTAACCTCTCCTGGTTGACAGGGTACCCAGGTGTGAGGAACCTGGTCAAAGCCACGCTGCTGTCCCCGAGGAAGACTGGCTGTTACCAGGGTGGGTGGTGAAGGAGTAGAGGGGAGGAGGCGCTCCCTTCCTGCCAAGAGCTGAGGAACCGACAGGAGGCCTTTTTGCCCCCTTTTGGCAACTGGACCTCACCCCTGAACCTTCCGCCCCTGTTCTTTTTATTTTTCCTTTTTTAAGGGTTGGCTTCAAATTATCTTATTTTGTTTACATTGCACCCAAGTTTTATGGTACAAAAGACTTGCAGGTGCAAATATGTCCCGCCTTCATTAACTTCCCCTTCCTTTTTAATTTATGTGATTTCAATTTTCCTTCCCTGTACTGTTAATTAGGGGACCCTCTAATCAGTGCCATTATCACAGTGGTATTCATGTTTAGGAAAGCCGCTAAACAAATGCTTGCAAAATTGCTAAATGGCTAATTAATGTCTGTTAATTAAGAAAATTGCTCATGGTAACAAACCATGCCGTTGCTGGCAGCCGCTAGAAAGACACACACTTGTTGAAATTAGTAGCGTGGCAGGTAGGGGAACATCTGCTCCGCGGAGCTTTCCGGAAGTGAGCAGCCCCTGGCTTGGGCATGGAACTTCAGTCCTGTCCTTAGTGGCACATCAGGGTTCTCTGCTCACCTCTTTGGGTCTCCACACCCACCAGCTAGGGCCCACCCCTGCGTCCCTTCCCCAGCTCTGGGCTGTGCTTCCTGAGCGGGTGGGAGGCCGGGCAGCCTGGCTCTGAAGAAGACTGGGGAGGAAAACCCTACCTGTGTCTCTCAAAGATTCTTTCTTCCTGTCGTTTTAAATGTAACCACACCCATTCCCATGCATGGTTTGAATTTTTCTCAAAGGCAACTTCCAAGGGTAATAACACAGTTGTGGGTGGGTAAGAGTGGATTAGGAAGGGCTCCTCAGCACCAGCACCAGTGTCCAGCTTGCAGTGCTCTGAGTGGGCAGGAAGGTGCTTCTAAGACAGGCTTTTCATGCTTTTGGCTGACCCACAGTAGGAAATACATTTGACATTGTGATCCAGTACATACACACACACACACACACACACACACACACACACACACACACGTATTTTACAAATGAAATAGTTAATGAAAAATATTTGCCTTAAAACACACAAAGCTCTCTGATATTTTCTATTTTTATTTATTTATTCTGTTCCCAGGTTTTTTTAAAAAAACAATGGTTGCAACCCATTAAATTGATTTCACCACCCACTAATAGATTGCAACCCACAGTTTGACCAACCCCATGGTTTAAGGGAATTCACCTGCGTGTTTCTCCTGGGGGTAGTCAAGGTCAGCATTGCCCTGGGCTTTGGGGGTCAGCTTAGAACTGTGGATGGCTCACCACCGACTGGAGTAGAAAGCCCAGCCCCTGCTCCCACCCACCCAGCAGTCAGGGGCCTGTAGCCCCGTCCCCTTCTCCTCTGTACATGCCCACTCCAGCTCTGGGCTGCAGGGGTTAGGGTGGGCCTTGGACCCACCAGGCTTCTTGTCCTGGCTCTGCCATTTACCAGTTATGTGGCCACAGCTAAGTCCCTTCATCCCCTGAGACTCAGTTTCCTCACCGGTAAAAATAGAAATGAGAATTCCTATGTTACGGGGCCACTTTCACGTGAAGGTGAATTAGTGCACTACAGAGCGGGTGCTCCATAACCATCTCTCTTCCTCTTGTTTCCCCATTTGTTCAGTCTCAGCACCATCCTACTCCTCCTGTCTGTTCTCACGCAGCCATCAGTAGACTGGTCTCTAGGTACTTAAGATCTGCATCTGTCCCCCCAGGCTGGGAGCTCCTCCGGGGCAGGGCCTCGTGCACGCCTTGCAGAGTGGGTCCGTTTCTGTGCGTACCGTGCTCTCTGAGCCCAAGTCAGCCAACGTATTTAACATGGCAAACTCCGCTCCAACACTAGGTGATGCCCAGGTCCCTGCTCCTGCGTGCTCTGACAAGGGAGCTTGCTTGATTGATTCCTCAGTCTGCAAATCCCCACGGAGGTGTTTATCAGCTTCTCTCCCTCCCGCTCACCATTTTCCACCGATGAGCTGGCAACCTAGGCAGCAGCTCGCACCTCCCCGCCAACCAGAGCCCGCCGCCCGCACGCCCGCCGCCCACCCTTTGTTTTGGTTTAATTTTTGTTCTTTTAAGCTTCTCTTGCGCTTCTCCATGTGCTGTGATCTATAACCTGCCTCTACTGTCTGGCCTCACAGGGTCCTCCGGGGTCACAGCCCTCGCCGCACGCACAGCCTCCACCCCACAATCCCAGCAGCATGATGGGACCCCACAGTCAGGTAACGCACTTGGCTCGCCCGCCCGCCGGGGGGCACGGGGCACCAGGAGGACAGAGCCAGCAGAGGAAAAACAAAAATCAAAACGTGCTCTCGCCATTGCCTTCGAGTCTCGATTGACAAATGAAGTGTTTTTGAAAACATATATACATATATTATTTTCTAAAGAGAGTCTTCATTCCTTGGACATCACACCCAGCTTGGATATGAAACCAAAAGAAAAGAAAAACATTTCTGTGACCTTGTCAGCGGCCTTTGCGTTTTTGTTTTTTCCTCTCACTTTTGGTTTGGTTTTTGAGTTTGGTTAACCATTCGTTTGTAACCGAAGCTGCATCCCGAGGCTTTTCTTTGTGCACTCGCTGCTGAGAAAGCTTTCCTGCCCATTCCCTGCATTAAGTTAGGGAGCCCGCTGTCCCCTTACCGTTTTCATTGTGTGTCTCCTCGAATCCTCGCTCCCCTTCCCCACCCCTTTTGTCAGTGGTCTGTTGTGTGTGTAATTGTGCGTGTGTGCGCGTGTCCAGCTTTGCACACCCTGAAAAATGTATGTCTAGGTTCCTTTTCTGATTTCTTGATCTGCCCTTCCCAAGGGCAGAGGTCTTCCTCCTTTGGCCCACATTGATGTCACTGTACTTCCTCGTCCTGTGCAAAGTCCCAGCTGCCTCCCCATCACCCGGAGTCGGTCTCCATGAACAGATGCAGAACTGGGGTCCCGTGTGTGGTGGCATCTATTATTCCATCTGCCCAAAGGAAGTTTAGCCCAGAGGGAAGAGGCCACTGGGAGAAAGAGAGTTTAAAAGATTGCCAGTTGTAACATAACTGGACTTCGTGGAGTGGAGCGCATTTGTGTTTGTCCCTGTGCACGAGCACAGGCTGTCATTGAACTAATTCCCTGTAATTGCAGCCTTTTATGTCACCGCGATACGCAGGCGGCCCCAGGCCCCCAATCAGAATGGGAAACCAGGTACTGTACCTTTTCATGTTCTCTCTCCCCTCACTCAGCCACCCTTGACCCCAGTTGGACATTGACTCCATCAAAATTCGAGGAAAGGATTGGGAGGTGGAGGGACAGATTTTAACAAGATAGCTTTTACAAGCAGTTCCCTAGAGAGGGCCCTGTGTCCACTCCATGCCCTGGTGCTGCCCCCGGCCAGCATTTTACCTGCCTCTCCTGGGGGGCTTGGGGTGGCAGTGCTGGAGCTTGGAGGGCAGCAGCAGAAGCAGCTGGGGTGGGAACACAGGGTTCCAGCTAATCTAGAGAAGGTGGTAATGCCCCTGCCCCTCCCATCCAGCCCCTTCTTGGAAAAGGGTCTTCCTCTTTAATGAAGTTAATTGACAACGTGCATTTTTCCTGGAAGCTTTTGAGAATTGCCAAGGCTGGTAAATAGAATCCTGCTATTAAGGGGGGAAATGGCCCGTAGGAATGCTTAGATCAGGAGCCTGGGAGGCAGCAGAGCAGGACATTTGGGAGTTTTTCAGCAGTGTCTGCCTGCTTCCCAGACCCAGTGCAACACAAGAAAGGATTTGTTCGTGTAATTAGAAAAGCAGTCTGCTTACGGGGAGGGCTTTTCAGCCTGGAGTTGTGCACCTTGTGCTGGCCTCTTAGGGTAGGTAGTTCTAGGTGGTCTGGAGAATCAGCCCCTGTGCCCCCTCCCCAATTTAGCCCATCTAGAAGCAGGAGGGGAGCTGGTGACGTATGGATGAATATCCTCTTCTGAGGATAGACAGCCTAAAAGAAACCTTCAGGGAAGTTTGTTTTTATGCCAAAATATTTTTTATGCATAATTCTTTGAGTGACCTTGTAAAAGCCCTTAAGAAATCTGACAGCAACACCAGTGCATCCAGCCCTGGTGCCTTTGGAGCTGGGAGTTCAGTCACCAGCTAGATCGCTGTTCTCTGAGTATGATTCTCAAGGCTCCACAAGAAAGCTCCTGAGTGAGATAGTACAGGAACTACAGAGCCATGCCCATAACCAGGAGCCTCCGATTTTGAAGTTAAATTGCCTATCAGGTTTCCACTTTTTTTTTCTCTTTTCTTCAACAGTCTTTTGTTTCCTATTTTCTCTGACATGAAGGAGACAAATTTAGACAAGAAGAATTAGAGACTTTGTTTTTTGAGCAAGGAGGGCCCCCTGGATACATCACAGATAAGGAAACAGAAGGTCAGAGTGGTGGAGTGACTTTCCGAAGTCTCCCAGTGAGTTGGGCTCGAATCCAGCTCCAGCCCCTGGGTCAGTGCTGTTTGCACCTCACCGGTTCACTTAGCTTTCCTAGTTGTGAGAGTGTGGCCCCTGCCTTTGTTTTAACCAGTCACCAAAGTGAGTCTCCTTTGCCATCGCACGCGTGGGCCATAGCAGCAACCCTCCCTGTGCCTATGCAGGGCTCTCCTTGGTCTGAACTGGCCTCTGCACCAGGGATGCTTCCTTATCATAGTTGTGGCCCTTCCTCCAGCCATTAAGGGACACTAAGGAAACGTGTGTTGGTATTTGTCAATCATGAGCAAGTACCCAAGAGAGCAAATGGAGAATAAATTGCTCTCTATATCTGGTATCACAAGCCAATCTTCCCAGCCTCCCACCAACCCTCTGTAAGAAAGGAACACTGATTTTTCTAGTTTCCTGTGAATTGAGAAATTTTTGTCCTCTAAGGGGGGTTGTGCCCCTTACACAGGTATTGCCCCTGGGGGTTACTTGGAGAGCGCCTCAGTTGGGGCTGCCAGTCGAACAGAAGCCTCCAGGCCACCTGAGCTAGCTCAGTGCTCCCCCGGGGCAGGTGGAGGAAGCAGAGGCAGCAGGACTTGCTTGGGCCCATACAGCCTCCCGGTTTAGGGTGATAAGAGGGGCATGTAGGGGACAAGAATCTAAGGGTTGTTGGCTAGGAGAAAGCAAGAAGTTATAATGGCCAAAACCCAGGGGCTGGAGAGACAGACTGTATGCCCCCCAGGCAGGTAGAAACAGTAGGTGCCAAAGGCCTCTTCATGACCATCAAGTACTCCCCAGGCTCCTGTGGCCCTCCCACACGAGACACCATGCGTGTACCCCATTCTGAAGCTAAACAGTGAAGACTTGTCCCTTCCCTTCCCACTACCTTGTTCCAAAACCAGTTGGGAGTTCACCGTGGGGCTAAAGGCAGACCAGCGTCCTACTCAGCTCTTCCCACAGCAGTGAGGGGGTGGGGGTGGGGGTCCCTGCAGATGGGAAAGGGTGACCAGCCTTCCCTAAAGCTTTCCCTCTCAAAGGCAGGTCCATGTGTAGTCCTAAGGCTTGTGGTTCTAGAAGTAAACTTTCACCCCAGCTCTGCCTCTTTTTTCTGATGGGAGCTGAAATAACTTCAGTCCCAAGTAAATCGCTTTTAATAGGTGTGCCAAGAAAATCCAGGGCACCCTGTCCTGACCTTAACAGTAATCACACCAGCATCTGCCTCCAGCACCAGGCTTCCGTGAGCAGGTTCTCCTTCAGCATCCTGATCACCCCTCTCCTGGAGGCCTCCTCTTCACTCCAGGCATGGGGGTGGGAAGGTGGCATTTCCTGTGAGGGAGTCAGGAGTCCCCTGTTTGGCCTCTGGGCCTCATTTCCCCCTATCTCCATCTGAAAGCCACTTCCCCCCCTGTTCCCCTTTAAAAAGGACCTCCCATTGTTACAGGATTTTAGCTGATGGGTCTCTGGATCCCCACAGTTTGGAGGTGGGGATAAAATGAGTTACATCTCCATGAGGCAAAGGAAAGACAGGGTTGGGGTTTGGTAGTAAGAGGGAGGGGGCACTGCTGCCACTGAAGGGGGGGGTATGGTAGGCAGTGCGGCCAGAGCGTGACCAGGCTCTGGTGAGATACAGACCCACAAGGACAGCAGGGCAGAGCAGTGGTTCCTCTCCCGGAGACGAACCCCAACCCACCCATGCCACAGTTTCTGCTAACACCAGCTCAAGCTGACTGCCACTCCCAGGGGACCTTCCCCCAGCTGGCAGGCAGCAGGAATTGTCTTGGGGAGGCCACGAGTGGCCCTAAATAGTCAGGTGGTGAGCTGGAACAGGCAGATGTGCCCTTGTCTATTCTCCAGCTTGGGGAGCAAGCACTCAGCTCGTGTCTCACATCTCTTTCAGCCTCCAGGAGGAGTTCCTGGGACACAGCCACTGCTGCCCAATTCCATGGATCCCACACGACAACAAGGTAGAGAGGGCTGGGTGGGCTGCCCGGGCGTGGGGAGTCGGGAGGGGCTCCTTCTCCCTCTACTCTCCGCCTCTGCCACTCACAGCTCACCTACTCTCTCATGCAGGGCACCCCAACATGGGAGGATCAATGCAGAGAATGAACCCTCCCCGAGGCATGGGACCCATGGGTCCTGGCCCACAGGTAATCACCTGTGTGTCCGTCCATTTCCCTGACCATCTGTGTGTCCCCGCCTTCTCTCCTCTTTCCACAGTCTGTTTTTCCACATCGCTCAGCTTGCAGGGGGGAGAGCAGAGGGCGTGACCAGGTCCCCAGCTACTCTCTCTGCCCAGGGTGGGCTGGCCCCATGCATAGCCAGGAACAGCCCTCTCAGCAGAGTTGAGGGACCCTCAGGAAGCCTCCTAGTTTGCAGACCCTTCCAGGGGAAGGATATGCTAGCATGTGGTTTGAGGGATTTGGAAGCAGAGGGGCTGGTACCCAGGCAGTAGTGTGGGTCCCAAAGCCTCCTCCCATCCTGGGTGGGTAGATTTGAGCTGGCTCAGGGGTCATGGTTTGTCATGATCCAAAGGTGGGACAAATGAGTGGCTGTCCTAGCTGTTTGCAGTTCACCATGAACAAATCACTTTGCCCTCTGTGGGCCCCAGCAGGCTTCTGTTTCACCACCTTTCCAACAGGGAGCGAGTCTATATTCATGGTCCTCTGCAGTGCCGCTCCAGGAGAGGGGAGCCAGGCTGGCCAGGGCCCAACTCACTTCAACCCACAGCTTTGCCTGTTTCATAAACTGGGGTACTAAGATTTATTTTCACCAGAGGGCTCCATTGCAAAAAAAGGACCATTTAGGGAAGAAATTATTTCAAGCACCCTGTCTACCTCTTTACAGTTGCAACACAGCATTTGCTCCCTGTGACCCAGCTCCTCACCCTGTCATAGGTACAGGGTCCCACAGTCATTGGGCAGGGGTCTGGCAGACCATTCCTGTTCTAGTGCCTTCTCATGGTTGACTTTGTGTTTGAATGTGGCTCTGTGACCTGTAGGCGCTATGACAGAGAGGCTGCTCTGTTCTCCCTCCTTGGGAATTCTCTGGATCTGACTACCTGAGAGAAGCTAGCAGCCTGGATAAGGCGAGGGGAGTTTCATATAGTGAGATAGAAGGGTTTTGTTCCAGGGAGATCCTTTCCTTCCTTTCTGCCCTGCCCAGGAGCCTGCTTGTCCCTCCTACCCTCTTGTAGATGTTTGGATTCTCTGGGCCCCTCCAGAGGTGTCCAATTCCCTGGGGTTGGAGCACCCCCCGCCCCACACACACACCCCTCCCTTTTGTAGGAAGAGGCATCTGGGCACCCCTCCGCCCTCCACTCCATCCCGCATTGTGCTTGCAACACGTCCAGCCCTTGCTTTCTTCTCAGTGGTGCTACATCTGTGGTGTTGAAAAATTTTAGGGAGGACCTTGTCTTCTGCCCTGTAATTCTAAAAGAGGCAAGCCCACTCCACTTGCAGCTCCATGTTCCTGTTATTTTTCTTTCCTTATATCTCCCAGAGCTCATGCTTTTGCCAGCCTCCTCTTAAGCCACCAGAGTGGCCCCTACCTGCCAAGTGGCCATCTGGGGCTGACCTCTGCCAAGCAGCCCAGCCGAGGAACCCGTGGAAGGGGTAGAGTCGGCAGCAGAGTGAATCCCCCTGAGTCTCCCTCAGCCTCCACCACACATGAGAGAGACTTTTTGTGTAGAAATCAGCAGTGGTCTTGGACGTCCAGAACATTCTGAGGAGGTGAAGAGGATGGAGTCTGGGGCAGGAAAACTTTATTCCCATTCCACTGCCCAGGCTTAGCAGCTGCATCTGTAAAATGGGAAGGAGCCCAGCATCTGCCTTGTAGGGCTGCTAAAAGGGGAGGATCAAGTTCTTGGCATGACCTTGGCACAGGGTAGCCCCTTAGCGAGCAATTTGTTTTCCAACTTGGGGCCTTAAAACCAGTGTTCAGGATCCTAGTTGCTTGGGTTTGGTGACTTTTTATAGTTTCATTTTTATTTTTTCTGGCAAAGGCCATTAGTATGTTGAGGTTCTAGAAGCTGAGAATAGATGTTATCAGACCGGCTGAGAGCAGAGGGTTCTGGAAGTCTAGGACTTCTCCTGGCTTAGCAGATGTCTCATGTCGGCGTCCCTGACTAGCAGTCTGGCACACTCTGTGAGGGTACTGAAGGCTGAGGTCTTGCTGAAAGGGCCTCCTGGGGCCCAGTGTTGCTCTCCTGGCCTCACCAGGAAGCATGCAGGGTGGAATGCTCTGAGGGGAGGGAGATGCTAGCCTAGGGGTAAGGCCAGCTGGCTCTTCCCACCCCCACCAACTTCACTGTCTCTGGAAACATCTCTCCTGTATTTTTCTTTATTTTATCAACATGAAGACCCTTAAGTGCTTTTGCTGTGTCTTCTGTACCCCTCTGGGTAGGGAGAGTGCAGTATTAAATTCCAGAGCCAAACTTCCCTCAACAACTCAGAATTTCTGCAGCAGCTCCTCATAGAGGGCAGAAAGGCCTGGTGTTGTTTGGGACTTGGGCCTGGGCAAGGTTGGGGTGTAGGCTAGATCACAGGGTCTGTGGTCAGCCAGGCAGGGACTGGGCACTGCAGACCCTAGGGGGTTGGACCCCAGGGCTGAGGGTAGGGAGAGGACAGATTGTCTGCATGCCTGCTGGCCCTTTCTCTTGTCCCTGAGGGTGCTGCCCTGGTCACTCCCAGTGGACAGGAGAAGACGAGCTGAGAACTTGGTGCTGGGAAACACAGTTCTGGCCACAGCCTGGCCTGGTTGGGCCTCACTCCCTCATCTGCAAAATGGGTGGCCAGGCTATGACCTCATGGGGCTCCTGTGGGGTCAGGTGAAACAGCTGTTGAAGGTATCCCATGGATCCCATTCCCTCCCTAGGCCCTGGGCTCAGGCTGTCTGGAAGGGGGCCAGTCCCTCAGGCAGCCTTTAGTATGTGCCACTGCACGCACAATGCTGTACTGAGATCAGACACAAAGGCGGGAAACCAAGTGGGGAACGAGGTTGCTAATAGCAGTGACCACCCCACAAAGAATAACAGGTACAGGGTGTCCTGGGGCCACTTCACAGATTTCAGACCCACATGGAGCGACATTGCACTTTGGAGCCTATGTTGCATTTTAGCCTGAATATCACACAGGAACCAGCAGACCAGGCACTGCTCTGCCTTCAGCCCCTCTGACCAATTTTATTTTGGTTTTGTGAAATGGCCAGTGCCAAAAAGGAGGTAATAGTTCCACTTAATTGTTTCCTCTCTGTGAAGAATTATGCATGTGGGTCGTGTCAGGTGGGAACCTTTTGGGAACTTTTTCGCAGTGAATCCTATTAGAATGAGGCTGAACCGGCAGGGGCTTCCAGCCAGGTTCAGGTGGAGAGGACACACGGCCCGTCAGAGGTGCTATGGCCCACAGACCCCATGGATGCCAACCCCAAGAACTGCTGGCCCCACAGTTTTTGGTTCAGATTAGGGTGGAGGCAGCACAGCCTAGCATCTGATCACCATTCCAGCCTGACTCCATTTGAGAAAGTTTGGGGGAAGGATAATCCATAGTCTGTGCCGCTTACAAGCAGTCTGTGGGAAGAATAGCATGTCTCTGTTGATCAGCACGGCCCAAGCTCAGTGCCTCTGAGCAGAGACTCCAGAAAGATGGAAGATCGGACCCTGGTCAGAGTACCCAGGGGCTGGGTGAGGAGGAAGGAGGCCACTCAAGGGACTTTCCTGGGAGGCCTCCCGGTGTGGGATGGCCTTGCTCCCATGTGATTGCAGAGGGTGGAAGACAGGCCCTGCAACCTGGGAAGCTGCCCTGCCAGCCAGAAGTCCTCTGACAGATCCATCCTAAAGACTAGAAGGCTCTTCCCCTACTATAAGGTAAAGATATTGCTGAGCAGGCCACAGGCAGCACTGAGAAAGAATCCCCCTGACAAGGTGTTCAGGGAAGTATAGCAGGCCCCAGCCCCTGCTGACTGTGAGGTGACTTGCCAAGTTAGTGTGGACCCTGCACAGAGCACAGAGCTGAGACCAAGAGGGTGGGACCTGATGCAGGATCCCCATCAGGAGGGCCCGTCATTGTTCCTGACTGTGGATCTGTCCCTCTGCCCAGGGTCTGGGCTGCCCACATAGAGACCAGGGCAAGGGGTGTGGGGAGACAGACCCCCCTGGATGTGGCCAATACTCTGGCTGCACTGAACTCCTTCATGTCTCCAGCCACTCCTGTTCCTGTGGAGCAGTGCTGACAGCAGAGGAAGGGGTGGTGTCTGGCTAGTGGTCACACCTGGCAGCCCAGTGCCTTGGCCAGGGAGGCGGGCACTAGAAGGGAGGTCCCTGTCACCTGAGTCTTCGAAACCATCGTTCCTAGCCCACCTGCCCTCTGTGAAAAGGCTGGTGTTTGTGATTTGAAAACCTGACTTTTAGCCTTACTTTCCCTGTGACTCTTACTGTGTGGCCTTGGGCTAGTCTCTGGCCTCGTTGGTCCTTCAGCTTGTCATCTGTAAAAAAGGGGAAGTGTGAGTGGCCCTCCAGGGTCTGTGCTTCTGAAGGAGGGAGGACCTGGTGGGCACAGTCCCTCCAGGGAGGCAGCCATGCTGGCTAATTGGGAGGCTCCTGAAGGCGGGACAGGATCAGAACAGGTGGTGCCTGAGCCTCCCTGAGGGGGGCTGCACACTGCACGTTCAGGTGTCTTTCAGGAGTGAGCACTGTACTTGCCATCTCCTCTCACTGTGTGCAGCAGTGTCTTGGCCTTCTGCCTGCCCCAGGCCAGCCTCCCCCCTTTGCCCAAGGTGCAGGCCCCTCTCCTGGGTGGGAGGGGCAGCAGGATGCAGCAGCTGGGTGCCCCTGGAAGATCTCTCCCTCTCTGTCTCTGGAGGAGTGGGACTGCCTCGGAGGGGATCAGCGTCCTGTTCTGGAGGAGTACAAGTGAGGCTGAAATTTGTAGAGGGGATTTTGTAGCTGCACGTGGGGCTTAGAAAGGGTCCTTTAAGAGCTGAGGTTCTGTGATACTTAAGGCAGCATTAAGGGCTTTGGCATTTGTTCTGTTGCCGACATCCCAAATCAGTGCCCACCTCTGAGGTCTGACAGGGCACTTCAGAGCCATCATTTCATTTGGTCCTCACGGGGCCCTGTAGAGTTGGCCATTCTTTATTCCCAGCCTGTGGACAAGGCAGCCCAGTCCCAGCTCTGCTGCTAGCATAGCGCGTGAGGCACTGTCACTCTGCTTCTGTGCCTCAGTTTTTAATCTTTAAAGTGGGGATAGTGATGGGGTTGTTGTGGTGATTAAATGTATGTGATAAAAAGCACGTAGCACAGGGATAATTCCAGCCTCGTGGCATTGTTATAAGGACCAAACCAGAGACTGAATATAAGGCATGCGATATACTCAGTAAAGAACAGCTAATTCTGGCTGTTCCTTTGCCATCAGTTCTACCAAACTGCTTCTTTCAGATTCTCCTACGAGGACAGAGCTTAAGCTACAGCCAGACTCATTTTACTTTTCACTCATTCACTTCTTTACTCCTTCGCTGGTCAGTTCAGCACCTAGTCTGTGCCACCTGGTGCAGGGAGTGAAGGGGGCCATGAAGGTCATTAAGACACAGTTCCCATCTTCAAAAAGCACTTAGAATCCATGGGAGCGATCGACATGTGGCTGTGATCATAACCCAGTGTGGTGAGCAGGGGAGGAGGGAAGTTACAAGGCATTATGGGAGTAGGATGGAGCAGTTAGCCCCAGGGGGTGGGGCATGGGAGGCTTCACAGAGGAGGTGCTGTCTGAGCTGGGTATTAGGGGATGCGTAGGAGCCCGCCAAATGTAGAAGGGAAGGCAAGGCATTCATTCTTGCCAAGAAAATAGCATTGGAAAAGGGAGTTGGGTGTGTTTGTGACAGGAGATGAACTGGGTGAAAGGCCTGGTGCCTGGTCAGGCACTCTTGTGACCCATCCCACTTGCCTCAGTGAGTTAGACTGAGCTAGGCTGGGACTCCAGGGAGTTCCCAAATTCTGTCTGAACTCTTCTCTCAAACAGAACAGTGATTCCTTCTGAGGATAGAAATGTCCTCCTGTGCCAGGCATTGTGCTTGTTGAGGGCCCCACATGCTGACACCTGGATTAGGCAACTTGATCTGGGGGTGGGGGCACAACCCAGGTCTGGGCAAGGTGGGGTGTCTGTACATTCCATGCCTTGGGGACAGCGACAGGTCAGGCCTTTCAGGAGTATTTCTTCCCCTTCCACATTCAGCCCCGGCCCCTGCCCCAAGCCTACCAGCAGTTTCTCCCTCAGAGTGTCTAAGGTGCTGGCATTCACTAGTCAGATCTGTTGCTGAGTCTGTTCCCCTTTACCCACTGAGACCTGAGGGGAAGGTGCCCATCGCCAGGAGCCCAGAGATGTGAGCTGCTTGCTTGACGTCCATGTGCTTTTGAGGGAACCCCCTTGAAGCCCCTGAAGCTGCATTTAAAGCTGTGACTGTCCCTCTGTGCTGGCTTGTCATTGTGGTCCCATCACTTGACTCCCACCCTCCCTCCACCTTTTTAAACAAATGTGTTATTTTTTCTCATCAGATTCTTTTCACAAACTAACCCTCTCGCTTATATTCTGTCTGTTTGTTTCCCTCCCTCCTTCTCTCTCCGGTTCCCCTTCTCCTTCTCATAGACTGACCCTTGGTTATCGTTGCAGAATTACGGCAGCGGCATGAGACCACCACCCAACTCCCTCGGCCCCGCCATGCCCGGGATTAACATGTAAGGCAAAAACGACCCACCAGCGGCTCAGAGCCCGTGGCTTTCCCACCCTCTGTTGCCCTCCGGAACTCTGAGATTCGAGTCATTGCTGGCACCTCTCTGGACCTCAGTGTCCTTGTCAGTACAGTGAGGATGCTGACAGTGCTGGTGATGGGACCTCACCCCACATGGTTACTTGCCCAGCACGGTTGTCGGCGTGTTACACAGCTTCGCTCACCTAATCTTCATCACACCCCTTAGGCGGTTATTATTATCTCCCATTTACGGACGAGGTAACTGAGGCACAGAGAGGTGAAGCCTCTTGCCCAGGCTCACACAGCATACAATGGAAGGGTCCAGATTTGAACCCCTGCACGACTGTTCTACTGATTTTGTGTTTCTTAACCCCTTTGCGGTGGTAGATCCTTGGGCAAGTGCACACATAGAAGAAACTTTGTATACTTCACAAGTTCTTCATATAATTTATAGGAGTTTGTAGATTTCTACCCATGGAACTGCTCATTACAACCCCAGAACCAGATGGTCTCTAAGGCCCTGGGCTGGTAGGAAGGACTTCCTGTTAGTCACTTCAGCCGTCTTGCTCTGCCCCTGCTGGCGCCACCCCCTTGGAATTGACGGCTCCTTTTTCATTGTCTCCATCTCTCTCTCCCTCTGTCAGGGGCCCGGGAGCTGGCAGACCCTGGCCCAATCCTAACAGTGCTAACTCAGTGAGTATCAGGTTGGGTGGGTGTACTTGCCAGGGAGGGGGCTCTGAGGTGTGGGGTGGTTCCTGTCCCCAGATTGGTGGTGTCAACATGGAGGGGAGATGTAGCGGCCTCTACTTGATGCCTCCAAGAGAAGCCCACCTGTAGGCGGAGCCTTGGGAGTAACATGCTGGGGCCTTCTTGAGCTCCGTCCCTGTGCAGCCCAGCCCACTGCTTTGCAGAAACTGAGGTGTAAGCTGAGAGCTGGGCTCAGAGAGTGCTGTTCGCATAGAGTCTCCTGTAGGACCAGCTTTCTGCACTCAGAGGAAGGGGTGGGAAAGGGGTCACACACACAGTCCAGGGGAGAAGCACAGAGGGGTGGGGCAATGTTCCTGCTGTCCTGCCCTGTGCAACTGGAGGCCCCGAGGGCTCCCTGCAAGGCTCTAGGGATCAGTTCAGTGTAGGAGCTGGACTTTGCTCACACCCCAGCCTTCCTAGGGAAACTAACCAGTTGGCTCAGTGGGTCCCACAGCCTGTCCCATCAGGAGTGGGTTCGTGTCCCCAAGTGGGTTTAGATGCCAAAAAGTGCTGCCTGTTGGAGGAAGTGACTGACAGGTGGTTCCCCCACCTCTTATTTCTAGATTCCATACTCCTCCTCATCGCCCGGTACCTACGTGGTAAGTGTGGGGCTTTGGGCTGTTGCATGTCTAGTCACTTGTGACTGAATATACAAGAGAACTAACTACCCAGGGGTCCCTGTCTCTTTCCCTTTCGAAACACATTCCGAGCACAGGTTCCACCCGTGCTAGAACTTACTGTCAGTGTTCAGGTATTTGTACCTTCTGGTGGTCCAGAGGTTTCCAGACAAGACCTGGAATTGGGATCCCCATGTGTGGGGCTGACTAGCTTCTACTGCAGGCCTCTGGTTTCACTGATTGGCATGTGTATGAGCACACACGTGTACACACAGACACACACAGCCACCTCAGTTTAAAGAAAGAAAATGGGGATCCAAGTCCAGTCCCCTAAGGTCAAACCTGTGGGCTCTGCTGAGAGTGAGGTTGAGCAAGAGCTGAGTGCTGGCGAGGCCCCAGGTAAGAACTTGCTGCTGTCATGCTGGAGCTCGGTGGCCTCTCCCCATGTGGGTTTCTGATGTCAGTTTTTAATCTTATCTCCAGGGACCTCCTGGCGGTGGTGGCCCCCCAGGAACACCCATCATGCCTAGTCCTGCAGGTAAGAGGGCTTGGGGAGGGGTGCCTTTGGGGGTCCTGGAGGGGCACAGGTGCAGAGCCAGAGCTTGCCAGCCGTTCCTCCTGAGCAGCATGTCCTCCACTGATCATCTTGGCGTCAGAGATTTGGGGGCATGAGGCCTCTGGTGCCACAAAACCACCGTGTGGCCTCAGCTAGGTCACTTCTCGTTTCTGGTTAAAGGATGGGCAAAGCAAGGTCTGGGAACAAGGGGTCTCACTGTCCTTGGCTCCCGCTGGTCAGAGAGAACCCTGCCTGGGTTGTGCATTTCTCCAGGTGACCAAGAAGGGACTTTTGGATCTGGCAGCCTGGGACCAGGACTCTACGCCTGGTGCCTCTTGGCTTCTGGTCCTCTGTGTAAGAGATCCCTTCTCCCTTTTTCTTTAACCAAAGGAGGGCATGTACGCACACACACAGCATCACGATTGTGTTTCTCTCCCCGCTAAGAATAGCATACCACTGGCTAGAAGGAATCCAACACGTAGGCCTTACCCACCCCAAAAATAAAAAGTGAGAGGTGGGTGGATTTCTGCCTGAGAAATACTGGGCCTGCTCCTGATATAAACATGTTAGCTGATTTCCTAAGGACACGTTTCTGGCTAATTGGGGAGGTGGAGGGGTCCCTCTCTCCCACCCCCTCCCCGGCTCCCCATAGCAGGGAAGCTGCTCAGCTGCAGGGGTGGAGCTGGCGGCAACCGTGATATTCCGGCTCCCGCTCTGGCTCCTTTCTGCTGCTGCATTTTTATGAGCTGCATGACCTACATTCAGACTGGGTCACATTAAACCACTCCATATGTTAATGTGTCTCCAGCCCCATCCTTGCCTCTCTCTCCTGCCCCATCAGCCTGGCAGGGTGGCCCCGGGGTAATTTGTGTCATTTCTCTTTCCCTGGCTTGATTAAAACTGCTGGGCAGGGTTGGGGAGAGCACAGGTGGCGATCTGGCTGCCCCTACATTGTCCCAGCCAGTGACCAGATTTGGTGTGGGGTGGGGAGACAAGAACTGGAGCCGGTAAATCCCCCTTTGCCTTGTCCGCACTGCTGTCCAGACACCCTGAAATTCTTCGTTTCAGGGTCGAGTGGTTTTCACAGTTGAATTTTCTGTGATTAAAAACTTTGTGAATCTTCATTAAATACAAATTAGCCAGAAAATGGCGGTACTTAAAAGAAATTTTAGGTGATAAAATACAAAAGAATGAGTTCAAGTGCCACGAGTTTGTTTTAATTAAGAAATGAATTAATCACCCCGACTTTCGGGTTTCCACTATTCTACAGATTCAACAAATTCCAGTGACAACATCTACACAATGATTAATCCGGTGCCGCCTGGAGGCAGCCGGTCCAACGTAAGTCTGCTTTCTAATAATTTACATATCAGATACCATAACAAATCATAATTAACTTCATCAGCTGAGGGGAAAGCACGTTTAATTGATTTCAGCCATTTGTTTCCAAAGATGAATAAAATAAACCGTCAGAAAAGTGATTAACTCTTGGGCACCTCAGTTTCCATCTCATGGCTGCCAGGTGGTGGCAGCGAAGGGGATGAAGTGAGTCCCGATCCTCTGGTCAGAGCGGGGCACTGGACCCCGCTGGGGGGGACCCCTGCTGCCCTGTGTGGGGTGTCGGTCCTGGAGAGCACCGGGCTGCAGGTGGGGTTTGGGCCGGCCCCTGCTCGGCTGGCTGTGCCACCCAGGGCAGCGCCTCACCCTCTTGGGTCTGTTTCCTTGGTCACAGAGCTAAGAGTGTGGGCCACAGCGAGTGGACCATTTGGGGACCTTCCTGCCCTGTGCCTTAGGCTCCTTTGGGAGCCCTGTGACTCCTGCACCTCGAAGCCTCTTGGCCTCTCTTCAGGCCATTCCCTCATCAAGGAGCCACTCCCTCCCTCCTTGGCCTTTCAAAGTTCCAACCTCCAGTGATGTCACAGCTCAAACTCTTACCTTTTCTGATCACCCACTCCCTATTCCTCTGCCCTGTGTCATGCGGGACTTGACCTTGCAGCTGTAGCCTGTCTCCTTCTCCCAGCTGGGAGCTCCCTGAGGACAGTGCAGGTCCATCACCTCCAGGCAACCCTCCCACGTCAGCCTGGAAGGTGAACCCAATGAGCCTTGCCCTTGGGAGCCCAGGGTTTGGAAAGGAGGCTACCTGTGACCACATCAGCAGTCTGCAGACTGCAGAGCTAGAGGGTGGGCTTTGGGCCCCCAAATTGTCTGTGGCTTTTCGGGGTGCTCTGTTTGGTTTTGTTGGTTCCATTCTTAATGAGACACCTAAACCACCCATTTGCTAAATCCTGACATGAGTGGTCCCATGCTGGTCACTGGGGCTGTTTAAGCTACTGGTAGCCTCCGTGGTGAGGGTCTTTGGCCCAGCTCCTCAGGTGCCAAGAGGGGCTGTAACCAGGGTCATGTGACTGAGGGGAGGGGAACCACACATTACACCTGACACCCCACCACTCCTCACCCTCCCCTCTTCTGCACACCCAGCTCCTCCCACTAGCCCTGCCTCATCACTCCCTGCTTCTTGCAGGGTAACCAGCCATCTGGGTTTTAACTTTAAAAGCCCCATGTCCCAGGAGACCGCATCCCAGGACAGGAAGTCCTGGTTTATGGCAGTGGATGCAGGAAGTTGGGTGGGAAAGTGTAAGATCTGCACAGTGGCCCGAAGACAGGGACTGGTGTGGTGTTCAGCATCCCGTGGAAATGGCGTTGATTACCCCCCTCCCACAGTCGCTGTTGCCATATTTCTCCTGACCATGGACTCCGTGGGTCGTGACCTGTGGCCCCCAGGGATGCAACTCAAGGGCGCTGCCGTCGAAGCACTTGGTGGCACCTGCCTTTGGCTTTGCCTCAGGTTAACTGTCATGCCGTTGAGATGGCACAGTTTCTATTTTTCGTGCTGTGAGTGTTGTGACCACGTTTTCCAAGAGTTCAGATGATGAAAATGAGAAGGATGACAGCACCAGCACTGGGAAGAGGACCAAACGACTGTACTATTTTAATGACGGGGAGGACACACCGCTGGATTGGGGGTAAATGACCAAGTCGGAAGGGACTTCACTGTATGCTGCACAGAAGAGGAGGGGAGGTGACGGCAGAGGGCGTGAAGCGCGTTGGAGACTGAATCAGACTTCTATTCTAAATCCGTCAAAAGGTTTCTGTCATCCTCCAGAGAGACACCACAGCTCAGTCGAAAATAGCGGCGGCTGTGTTCCCTTGGACGTACCCCCCAAAGGAACCCATCACCATGCTCGCCGAGCTGAGAAGGTTACAGCTCCTGCTGCGAGGCTGCAGCTCAGTCCTCTGGGTGAATAGAGGGGGATTTGGTGACAGACGTGTTGGTCCTTTACAGTGTGGAGTTGGTTCTGTCATCTTACCAGCAGTCAGGCGAGCTTCTTACAGTGGGTCAAGTCGTGCATCAAATCCTGGCAACAAAAACAGGTCCATCCCCAGATCTTGGGAACTTTGACTTGAAACTATAGCTTTAAATCGTCATCTCAATTTCTGTGAAGAAAACGTAAATCAGAGATTGTGTTCTCTTGTCCACATACGGACTTAGACTTGGCTCATTTGTCTGCATATTTGGCAGACGGTACACCGTTAAATTGGCAACTTTCATTCAGTCTGTAAACATCTTACCTGCTAAATGTCCCATCCACCTTGCCCCCCACGCTGCTACAAAGGGGTGTGATGCACTTACCTGTGATGTCAGGCTTTCACAATGAAAGTGTTTTGTCACTTGTCAGTTTCCTCAAAACATGCAGATACACTTAATGAGATGTTCGACTTTGTAGAAACCGGGAGCCTCAGACACGCCCACAGGGTGGCCATCGCTGCTGCTGGCCATAGGAAAGATGTTAAGTTGTTGGCCGGCTGCGATGTCCTCTGATTTGGATATGCATTGAGATGAGAATGGAGAAGGGCCTTGCACTGAAATAGAAATGCATGTGCGTGTCTCCAGAACTGTTTGAGGGTCTTTAAAGAAGCCACGAGGAGCCAAGATGAGCCGACCCGCCGCACCTGTGTGTTCAGGGTTGTGGGTGGGAGGGGCAGGGGCTGGGGCTACAACAGAACCTCAAACGGCCAAAGGAATGACTCATTTTTGGAAATGTGACTGCTTGAGAACAAAAAATGTCATCAGTAAGGGTAGCCACATTAAACAGGACTTTCTCATTAAAGTTTCTTATTAAAACTGTAACTTAATTGGAATCCAACTTGGATCTCACAAGTTCAGACTACCTTTCTGCTTTAAAACTGTTTCCCTGGAAGGACAGGTCGGCTTGCTGATGACACCCAGTGTGCTGTGGAGTGTTTAGAAACGATGAACGCCTGAGACAGAGCTGGCTTCTCTGGTGGACCTGACTGAGTGAGGTTGGACTGCTTCCTTACACCAGCACCCAAAGTTAAGGCAGACCCTGGACCTGAATGGCAGAGCTGACACTATAAAACAGAAGAAAGCACAGGAGTAAGTCTTGTGACCAGGGTTAAGCAAAGGGTCTTGGCTAAAACACCAAAAGCACAGGTGACAAAAGAAAGCAGGAGCTGCACTGGACTTCATCACAGTTAAGACTTCTGTGTTTCACAGGACACTGTCATCCACAGAGTGGGAAAAAATATTTGCAAATCATATATCTGATAAGGGACTTAAGTCTAAAATATGTAAAGAACTCTTAAAACTCAATAATAACAAAAATCCAATTAAAAAATGGGCCAAGGGTCTGAATAGACATTTCTCCAAAGAACAAATAAACAGTGAAAATGATGCTCAGCATTATTTAATGCAAATGGAAACAACGAGATACTACTTCATAGGATAACTATGATTGAAAAGACAAATAATGACCAGTGTTGGCAAGGATGGGAAGAAATTGGAACCCATCACCACGCAGGTGGTGCAGCTGCTTCGGCAAACAGTCCTGCGGTTCTCCGAAGGGTTAAACAGTCACCTTGTGACCCTGCAAGGCCACTCCTAGGTATCTACCCCTGAGAAAGGAAGACACGCGTCCCCACAGTAATTGTACACAAATGTTCATAAGCATTATTCATAATAGCCAAGAGTAGAAACAACCTAAATGTCCATTGTTCTGCTTTGAGTGTGAGAGAGAGGAGCCCCCCAGAGTGGAGGCTCCCTGAGGTCGGGACCCTGGTGCAGCTGGGCCACTCAGCCGCGTGCCCTGTGCTTCTTCCTCAGTTCCCCATGGGTCCAGGCTCGGACGGCCCGATGGGCGGCATGGGCGGCATGGAGCCCCACCACATGAACGGATCGTTAGGTGAGCCTGCTGCCCCGCCCGGCCCTGCCCCGCAGCCTTGTCTCTGCCTCCGCTGCTGGCGCAGCTAGGCCTGTCCATAGCCCTGGCCTTGGCCGGGCCCACGGGAAGAGACAGAGAAAGAACTGCCAGGATGGGAAGTTCTCTGCACAGAAACTGTGGGATTCAGGTGGAAGGGTTTGGAGGCCTCTCTGCAGAAAAGTGGGCAAGAAACTGAACAGGATTCTTTTTTTTTTTTTTT